TGAGTAATTAGAACTTAGAGTTATACATGTTAATTCAATTTCTAAATGCCTTTGATCATCTATTTTCATGATATCATGTGCCTAATAAGTAATTCTTTGCATGATTTCTTATCGGTTGTTTAGTTGATCAAATTCAACATTGATCAATTAATCACATTTATGAATTAGATTTGTCCTAGGATTTTCATGAACACTTTGCATGCTCCCTTTAGGATACCTATTCATTCAAGTGATCATAAGTTTCTTCATCACTTGATTTTATTAAATTTTTACACTTGCACTACACTAGACCCATCAAGTAAATGTCAAAACCATTCACATTCAAGACTCTGAAGAGAGAAGGACATCAAGAACTGGTCATACTGAGCTTCATCCATTCAAGCATATCTTGCCTCACCCTTTTCAAAACAAAAAGACTCTTCTTTCAAAACACCCTTCAATTATGATGCGAATTGTGTGTCACAAGCCTTAAGTAATGGAGAAGAACGAGATGAATCATTCCTACCCTTGTTCTGAATATCTTTGAATACGGTACGTAGGCCCCACTTATTCAAAGTATCTGTCTCCGTTCGTAGACTTTGGTACAATTCAAATCAAATAGTTGTCAACTTTCATTCTCAGACCAACACCTCAATAATCAACTACAACTTTCTCTTTGGACCAAATACAATACTCTTTGGATATCCATACATTCTTGAGGCTAATCACCTTCTCTTGGTTAATCATCTCCTTCATGGGTTAATCACTTTCTCATGGTTAAGCACCCATCTCTGAACCATACCCCTCTCTTTGGGTTAATCAACTTCTCATGGCAAAAACCCTCCCCATGCATGTTTTCCTTGTTGGTCATGTGCTTAAGCAAGCTCATTCGTGCACTTTTTCCTTATTAGTCTCATGCTTAGGCAAACCCTGCATTCTCGCGCATGTTTCCTTGTCAATCTCGTGCTTAGGCAGACCCCCTATTCTTTTATGTTTGTCTTTCCAGACCCAGTGCTTAGACAAGCCCTTTGTATGCATGTCTGCCTTGTTAGTCTCATGCTTAGAAAAACCATTTCATGCATGCGTGCCTTGTTAGTCCCATGCTTAGGCAACCCCTTCATGCATGCTTGCCTTGCTAGTTTTATGTTTATGCAAACACCCCTTTCTTGTAGGTCTTGATCCCTAGATCTAGGTAAAATCCTACAACTTTGGATTGACTAATCACCATTTATTGGTTAATCGTCACACTCCTGGTTCAGATACACTGTTTTATTGGTTCAAACAACACACTCTTGGTTCAAACGACACTTTCAGTATTTCACAAATCTTTTTCCAGTTCACTCACTCTTTTTTAATTCAATTCAATTATAAACCTTTTCAATCTAACTTTCTTCTCATAAAAAGAACTGTTATAATCCATTCTTTAGCAGTCAGACTAAAAACTTAGAGCATTCGAACGAGGATCAAAATCAGCTAACGTCAAAACACTTATAGAATACGATTATAATTGTTCCCTAAAAAGAACCAACAAATACTTATTTTCTACCCATGAACTTCAAAGCTCTGATTTTCTCATTGCAATATGAGAATACGTAGGCATGAGGATTTGAATAATTGACAAGCACGTTAATTAAAAACTTATTTTCCCTTAATTATAATCAATTGCAAGTAACCATTAGACAATAACACTCACATGTGCAAGGAACAATCAAAACGGTTTCCGTTGAGTACAATAGATGTGAGGGATGTTAATACCTTCCCCTCACATAACCGACTCTCTTACCATTTCTCTTTCCCAGAGGTTTTATTGATATTTTCCCTTTCCTTTGTGTGATATTTTGGGTCGAACTCTAACTCTGTCGAGGAATATCTTTCATGGATTTTGAGAGGAGACAAGCATGAAGTCGAAGATAGGTCGCATGATGTAGTCGAAGGATACATATTATAGTCGAAGTCAGTTCTAATATGTATTTTTGAAATGTATGTCGAATTGGGCCTTGTGTTAAAGATCCAATTATTTAGTTATCTTGGGTTTCAAGTTAGTTAGTCTATAAATAGGCTAGATCGCTCAGGTTGTTGAGTGAGGCCAATTGTGATATTCATTTATAAACCCTTACGAGAAAGTGAATAGTAAATAATTTGCTCTAATTTTTTTCCTTCTTTATCCTTTCTTCTTTCTCTCTTTGTTATAATTGTTTTCATTGTTCACTAAAGAACTGTTTCTCAATCTTGATTTGTTAAAAGGTATCGTTTGTGATCACAACACTTTGGAATAAATAAATTTTGGTGGCTACTATGTTGTATCATCGAGTGTGCGATGCACTCAAATATTTTTCGCTCCACGACATAGACCACTCGTAATAATTTCTCTTTTCTCAAAAACCAACTAACTCTCCAAATAGAACTTCAAGAAATACTCAGAAAGTTCAACAAATATAAAGAGAAAAAGAACTCTGAAAAATGAAAGAACAGAAAAAAGAGTGAAGAGGAAAACTATGAAGTTTTAATGTGATTTGAGAAGTGAATGAATGTTTCTATTTATAGAGAAAATTATAGTCAGGTCATATGAACGAATGAACTGGGTCATTTGACCATTATGGAAGTGGCTGATCAGATGGATAAAACATAGAAGAAGTTTTGAGAACGAATGGTTAGTCATGTTGAGAGAGAGATAATTCAAGGAGCGGTGGCATAGTCTCAAATCCTTAGTCAATGACGACTGTAATGGCATTCGATCAAAGATTATTGTTTGGGATAAGATATCAATTTCAAATTTTAATTTTAATTTTAAAATATTAAAGTTTATAGTGCCAAAAATATTAGATTAATATCAATCCCAAGCCCAAACTTACAGACCGTACATGGTATTAATTATTGACATTGCTCTCTCAGTTTACATAATTTCTACACCTATTAGAAAAAAACGTGGGTGATGTTTCAAAAATAGATATTTAGTTAATCGGAGTGGAAGAAAACTCATAGAAATGTGACATAATCTCACATCTAATCACAACTTATTTAATCAATATTAATTGTAATAGTACTCTGTCAAAATCGATTGTTTGGGATGTCATGCCAATTTCACATTTTAATTTTCTTCTTTAAATATTAAAGCTTTTAGTGAAAAAAGAAAAGAAAAAGATTAATACCAATTCCAAACCTAAATTAATGGACCACACTTAATATTAATTATTAACCCGACTTTTTTGTTCTCAATTTTATATATATCGGGGATCACCTAAAAAAAAGACTATATCAATTATATAAATACTTGAAAATATGAAAATTGTTCAATGCGAAATTTACAGAGTTTTTTTTTAAGGACACATACAGTACGACCGTGTCCACTAAAGTCTGTCAAAGAACTGAACGAGGTGGGGGAGAGTGCAATAAAGGTGAAAAGCTAAAAACCTTGATTTAACCCGTAAAATATGACGGATTAATAAGTTGATCCAATCTATTTTGTCACCTCCCGTTTGGTTCAACGGAGGGGAGGGGAGGGGAGGGATTTTAATAAAGGGGAGGGGAGGGGAGAGAATGTATTTTAATTAAACGTATGTTTGGTTCATAAGAGGGGGATGGGAGGGGAGGGAGAAGTTTTATTCAAATATATGTTTGGTTCACAGGGGGAGGGAAGGGGTTTTAAAACTAACTTACCTTTTTACCCTTAAAATATTATAACAATCATTAAATAATTTTTTTTTAAAAAGTATTCACCAAAAAAAATTGTTAATTCATAAAAAACATAGATAATTAAACACAAAATATTTAACATTTAAAATACTCTAAAATATCTTAAAATAAAAATAAATATTGATAAACGTCATAAAATCAAATTATATGATCAATGATCATATGAATCATTTTCTCATCTTAATGATCCATTTAATCCTATAACATATTTATAAGATTAAATTCTAACAAATATATAACTCATATTACAATTATATATTGATATGTAATATAATACAATAAATTATAAAATAATCCAGTTATTACAAGAAAAATATTAAATAAAAATGAATAGAATAAAACACATGAAAAAAAAGTTGAATCATAATAATAAAAATAATGGAGTTGTCATTAAATAAATGAATTATAATAAGGTGACAAAAATTAAGGTATAATATTAATAAAGACAATTAAAAACTTTATTAAATAAAAGTGAGGATAATTTTGCCAATATAATAAAAATACATGTTATTATAACTTCTCTCCTTCCCCTCCCCTCCGAAAACCCCAAATTTGGAGGGAACGAAAAAATGCTCCAGGAAAAATTCTGATTACCTTGAATCGTCTCCCATCTCCTCATAAAAAATTGAACCAAACACACCTATTTTAAAATATTTCATCCCTTTCCCTCCCCTCCAAAACCCCCCAACCAAACCGATCTTAAAATTTAAAAAATAACAATTCATGCCATTAAAAAATAAATTATAAAAAACATATTAAAATCAATTACGGGACCAATAAAAAAAATATCATCAAACACTTCCTAAGAAAACATTGTATTATTCAAATCAAAATTTTAATCTATCTTTAACAATTCGTGGCATTAAAAAATAAAATATAAAAACCTAATAAAATAGAAGGAACATATTAAAATCAATTTCGGTACCAGTAAAAAAAAAATCATCAACACTTCCTAAGAAAACATTGTATTATTCAAATCAAAATCTTAATTTATCTTTAACTGTTCACTCACTCCTAAATTATTCTGCCTAGACAACTTTCTTTAAAAAGTATTGCCCTACGCAACGACGTCGTTTGCTCAAACACTTCACTATTATTCAAAATTTTAATTTTATCCTTAACTTTTCGTTCAATGCTAATCTAATCTGCTTAGACTACTTTCCTTAAAAGCATTGCCCTAAGCAACGACGTCGTTTACTAGCGGGCATGGCATTGTAAGCGGTAACCGACGTCGTTGCGGCCGTTGCATTGGGTATCTGTCGATCGCCGTACCGGAGAATCGAGACCAGAAGAATCAGAACTGAAAAGTAAAAAAAAAAAACCTTCGAATGGCTCCACCCAAGGCTAGAGGAGCCACTCGGAGCAGCAACGCAAGGATTCTTCTCTTTTCCTTTCTTCTCGCTCTCCAATACGGCGCTCAACCTTTGATTTCCAAACGCTTCATCAGGTTTTTCATTCACGTTCTCAAATTCAATTTTAAACTTTTTTTTAGACTGTTTTTGTGTTTTTAGAGTTAGATTCTCGTCTGCATTTTTTGCATAGTAAATTATCACTGTTTGAATAATCGTTAGGAAAATTAATTATCTTCCATGGTTGTTGGTTAGATTGGCTGTTACTATAGTAGGATGATCACAAGATTACCATAATTCAAATGCCTAAGCTAAATATCGAAATATATTGAAGTTAGTTCTTGCTGTGATAACACTATGAAGAATATCCAGTCGATACAAAGGAAAAAACAAGAGAAGGAATTTAGTTGAATAAGTATAAAGAAAAGAATAAATCATATGGGGGTGTTTTGAAGTTGATCAAATGAAGAAAATAATAAATCTTTTATACAGTGTTTGGTTAGAGGGGAAAGGCGGGAATGGGAGGAGAAATGACGGATGTAGCAATTAATCGGCTGAGAAGTTGGAATTTTCGGTCAAATTTAGTTTACACGAGAAGACGACAACCACTTATATACCCTTGTTTATTGTTTTAGTTTCTGATTATGTTCGAACTACTTTATGATTTTCATTGCCATTATTCTGATATCAGTCACAAACTAAGCATAGCCCTTGCATTTTCTTCTTCTTCTTCTTCTTCTTATGTGTGAGGCCTGTAATTGATTTTTATAAGCTTATATTTGACTCGTTTTGCTATCAACTCTTGTTTAGATTTGGATACATTTCTGTCTTTATTTAGGATTGTGGTTTTAGCAAGTGTGTGCCTTCATTTTTCCAAAGCATGTGTACTAGTACAAAAATTTCAGTAAAACAACACGTTGTTTCTGCAAAACTTGCAGAATTGTCAAAAGTATAAGTCATAACATAAGTACTCTGCTTTTAAAATTTAATCAGTGATGCCTAGTTTTTCCTAGATGAACCCCAAACATCAAAACGAAAAGAGATACCGATGATTCAAAAATCACCAATAATTATTGTAGATTTCTTATCCTGTATCTTATCCACACTTTGTTCTACTTGTATCAGCACCAAATTTTTATGGCATGATACTGGCTTACATATCTGATTATGTGCTCAATATGGCTATGAATTTGACACTAATATAGTTATCAATTAATCATCATAACTTGTCTGTGATATCTATACTTTTAACTTAGGTTAAAAAAATACATTTATCCATGTGATTGATGGATTTAATATCATTAGTCATTCATCTCCTTATGCATTGATCCATGAATTAACATTGTAATTGTGAATGATCATGTGAAGCATGCCTTGATAACTTACTTTTCCCTCTTCTAACAGCCGTGAAGTTATTGTTACTTCATCCGTTTTGGCATGCGAGGCTGCAAAGGTAACTCTTATAATGTACTTAATGGTTATGGTTTGTTTTGTTAGATAGCATGCACTGTACATTGCTTTTTATTATTATTGGGAAAACTTATGTATATTTTTAATCTACTTTTTAGGTTATATTTGCCTTGTACTTCATGACAAAAGAAGGTAGTCTGGGAAGAATGTATAAAGAATGGACTTTGGTTGGTGCATTGACTGCATCAGCACTTCCTGCGGCTATATATGCACTGCAAAATAGTTTGTTGCAAGTTTCTTACAAGAATCTTGATTCACTCACATTCTCAATTCTGAATCAGACAAAAATATTTTTCACTGCATTATTTACATATTTCATGTTGAGGTATGCTCCTGATATTACAGATGTTAATATCTTTTCTATTTAAGTAAAGGCCCATTTGAACAAATATGTCTAAGTGAAGATATTAAACTGTTATTCATGTGGCATGTAATGGTTTCATTCATTAGCCTTTGTTTCAGCATAAAAAGTTGAAGTTAATTTATTCTGTAGAGCAGGACTTGTCCCTGGTTCTTTGTGATTTTGGGTAGGCATGGTGTAAATTTTGTGCAAGTTGTTTTCTTTGAGGCCAGTGATTTTCTTGAACTCTGTCAAACTGAGGTCAGAGATGTGAAGTTAGGTGTTTTCCAGCATCCTCAACCATGTTTTGTTGGGTTTGGCGCACTTCACTTCCTGTTTTTTTGGCATTCTAGAAGAATTTGATTTCCTGTTCAGTTGTTTGCATGGATCTGTAGCACTTTCTTAGGATGATGTTAGGAACCTGGTATCTTATGACCCTTATCTGGGAAAATCTTTTTAATTACAATATTGCAGATCTTTGAAGGTCTGCAACCTCCATAGCCTCAAAATCCTTATTTTCTTTCATATGACAAAATATCATTGTTCTAATCCCTCCCTCTTGTGTACATTACCGTCTAATCCTCTATCTATCCCAACCTAACTATTTCCAACCAGCGAATGAACCGAGTAACAAATTCTTGGGCGGTGTTACCTAACAGGTTATTCTTGGGAGATTCTTCTAAGTGGTTTCTCTTATCTTCTTCTCTTGATGGGATCTGCATTTCTTCTTTGTCCTTTTTTTGTCCGCTGGGTCATTCAGCATTGCTTCTCTTCACTTGATTGCACTTGGATGGTTCAATTTCTTTTCTCTTCTTGATGACAGCTTCTTATTAAAACAGGATGTGCTGTTTTATGCCGGGTCTGCAACTCTGCTACTTGAAACAAGTTAAAGCCTAGTGGTGGTATAAGGTTATTAACGGGAGGCAGATTGTTCAAAAAATTAGGGTTAAGTTTATCAGCCTTACTCTTTTGGAAGCCTTGGACTTATACTTGTAGTACTAGTACTTTACCTGATTATTAAATAAAATTGGAGTATGAGGTTAGGGGTTAGCAACTTATTACATCTATCATTTGTATTTCAGACTGTTATACATCTTTCTCTCTTTTCCCTCTTCTCTATCACTAAACCTGAATTCTAATATTGTCCACTACAAGGCATCTGATCATAATTAATACAGGCAAAAACAAACAATTCAACAAATTGGAGCCTTGTTCTTGTTATTAGCCGCAGCAGTTTTACTAAGTGTTGGTGAAGGCTCTAACAAAAGTTCTACTAGTGCTAATGCTGATCAAGTTTTATTCTATGGAATAGTTCCTGTATTAATTGCTTCAGTGCTTTCTGGACTAGCTTCTTCCCTGTGCCAATGGGCTTCTCAGGTTACCAGAACTTTCAATTTTCTCTTCGAACCTAAGTTTTTTGAATTGATTAATATTTTTATTTATCCAATTGATTTCTTCTGTCACAGGTTAAGAAACACTCATCATACCTAATGACTGTAGAAATGTCTATTGTTGGAAGTATATGTTTGCTTGCCAGTACCTTGAAATCTCCAGATGGGGAAGCTATCAGACGTCATGGATTTTTTCATGGTTGGACTGCTCTAACTTGGGTAATGTTCTTACCAATATTTTCTTTTTGGATATACTTCTTTGGAGCCCGTTAGATTGTTGATGTGCCCGTGCATGTAAGAAGCCTAATACAACCATCACATCAGTCTTGAAAATTAAAATCATACCCTCTAATCCCAATCACATGCATGTACATGTAAATTTAGATCAATACATTTTCAAGATCAAATCGATATCATTTTTTTGGGAGGGAGGGTTTAATAGTTTCTGTTGATTACCCTAACTGCATATCGACTTTCGCTAACATAACTAAAATGCCTTACATCTGTGGCTCTGGAATTTTTATTTTTTTGTATTTTGTTGCATCACGTACATTTGTGTTTCTAGTAGATGAAAGTGTTTTCAACTTATTAATTGTATTGATTAGTGTGTTAAAAAAATTCAAAATCCATAATACAAACTTTTTAGTGTGCCTTGTCATGGGCATTATCATCCATGTGTTGTAACTGTCTTTAATATATATATTGATGTACATCAAATTAAACAGTTGCATATTGTTTTTAATTCCTTTCAGATCCCAGTAATTTTGAATGCCCTTGGTGGAATTCTTGTTGGTTTAGTTACAAGCCATGCTGGTGGTGTTCGAAAGGTAAGGTTTACTTTGCGAGCTCAATTAGTTTTGGGATGTATTATCCACAGATAACTGATGAAAACTGTCATCAGATTGTAGTCGGTTCTTCCTGTTAGTTAACAATATTTTCACATCCTATATCATGTGGTTGATTGTAGGAAACAATTATATGCCTTTGATTATGTTTTATTTTTAATGCCTAATGTTAGTATGCTAGTTTTATGTTGTGGGTCGGATAGAACCATCAACCTTGCCTCTCTCACTCCAACCACCAAGTCAACCTTATATATCTGTATTTGATAATATAATTTGGTTTTATCTTAAGATTTTAGGAGCTTTTTAATCTACATTATTTTTGGAGAGAGATTATTATTTCACTTTATTGGTGAGCTATAAAGGCAGTAACTGCACAAATTTTTGTACTTGAGTTATTGATAATTTGATACTGGACCATATGAAATTGAAGAACTTTGCAGTTACTGAACATAATGACAAAATTGTATGACTTTGAAACTCATCTTACTGGGACTTTGGGAAAAAAATATTCTTCATATTTTCTGATTTGTGCAAATTTAATAAAGTGGTTTTCCTTCAATGTGGTCGCAGGGATTTGTCATCGTCTCAGCTTTACTCGTTACAGCATTACTACAGTTCATTTTTGAAGGAAAACCACCTTCATTATATTGCCTTGTGGCTCTTCCACTTGTGGTCTGTAGCATTTCAATATATCAGAAATACCCCTACCAGGTTAAGAAGAAGGAATCATAAAACTTGACTGCCACAGTACGGGGAAGTTACTTCATTAGTTCCCCAATGAAGCTCTTTTGTTTTATATACACAATATATAAGCATATTGTAAATGATAGAAGGCAAGCATTGTTTCCAATGTCTGCTCGATCTCAATAGAAAGAGGATGTTATATATATTTACTTTTATTTTTCTATTCTCGATGTTATATATATTTACTTTTATTTGTCTATTCTCTTTTTTTATTCTGGAACATTTGAAGAATCATTTATTTTGCTTCAATGTGTGGATAGAGGTACGAAAGTGAACATTTTGAAAGTTATTTTGCTGAAGACAATGACTATATTCTATACTGTTGTTGAAAGTGATTTACTTAAAAAATAATTATTTGAAAGTGAACATTTTGAAAGTTATGTTGTTAAAAGTGATTTACTTAAAAAATAATTATTGTAATCCTTTTTCTTCAATGAACTTGAACATTATGGGTTTGGATATTCAGTCATGTTCTTGAATAACTGGATATTGTCTATTAGGAGAGGAAAGATAAATTTTAGGGAATTGTTCAATACCCCATGACTTACTTATACTCCAACGAAATTTAAAAAATATCCCATGACGCACTTTATGATGTATTATGCCTTCTACATGTTATAGGAAAATTATTAAACTACTTCATAACTAGTAGATTTCGGGCACTAGACATAATGGTGACTTATTTGGGAGTTGGTCCGGAAAAAGTTCACAGGAGATAGATGACACAATGATATAATGCTAGATTTTCATTTGTGGATTTAAACCACGTGACTCTAGTTATGGGTATTGATGGTCATGATGTAGGAGTTGCATATCATAGAGCACGTGCATTGAGGTTATACCTCATGGGTTTTCAGCACATTTACATTTGTGGATAAAAGTGCGACCTATGTCGATGTTATCTATCTTAGATACTTCATTGAGTTGGAGAGGATTTGTGAGTATAACTAGAGGATTTCTTATTTAGTGTACCTCTATTCTAAGTTAGCTAAAGGTAATTTATGGAAGACGATACACTTATGTGAAACAACTATCTATTTACAGTAAAAAAAAATTATACCCTTATTGATATTAATTTAATAGTACTTGTGTTACATTGTTACTATTTCATATGAAATATTTTCAAGCATGGATCCACCCTTATTTTTCACATCTCGTTGGATGAGCATATGTGAAAGACTATTATGAGGCTTTGTCACGTGCCTGCTCGATCATTCCACTTAGTGGGAATCAAAAAATTGAGATGTTTCGAGTTTCTCTTGACTGCATCATGTCGAATGGTATTTGCTTTATGTTGTATCAGATCGTCGTGAGACACGATGAACCTTGAAGGTGGTATCATTGTCCCTAGATGGTTTGCCTATGAGTCTCAACTTATGTATTCCTACAACAGTTCAGGTATATGCTGGGTATACCTAGATACCTCATCATTATTGCTCCTGCCAGTGTCCTTCATAAGGATGTTGATGAGATTTTTACAGAGTAATATATGATCATCTAGTCCTAGAGGATATACGCCATGTTCTAGCTCTTCATATATGGAGTAGGATATACAAATACATTCAATGGTTTTATAGAGTGTCAAGTCCTTACATGACACCAGATGCAGAAAGAGATCTATCGAGGCCATCTCATTATGAGATTTTAGAAGAGGACCAGGCAAGGGCGGACCATGTCGTTGATGTGTTTCCTATATGTCGTTGCATTATTGCTATTAGGAGAGATGTCATAGCTAGGGGCGAATTTGAGGGAGGCATTTCTCATATGGCAACTCTACATACCATATTAGCAAAGGCACGACATACATTGTGGTACATAGGCAGAGGAGGAACAAAGACGTCAAATATACACAATAATTATCTTTTACTTTGTATTTTGATATTTTGACATTTCGTATTATGGTTTATTGTGAGAATTATATTAAATTTTAACATTTGTATTTGACATTTTGGCATCTAGATATAGACAATAATTCTTCTATTTTGATCTTATTATTGAATGACAATTGTGTATGATTTATTGTGAGATTGATTTATAATGACTTATAATGTAAGGTTTATTAAAAAATGTCAATTTTTTTAAACTTACTATTTAAGGGTATAAAATACTGACATAGGGCTAATTCGGAGATTAAAATCCAAAACTTGTTCTTCTATTGTAAGGAAAAAAAATACGCAGACAAGGTTAATTCGGAACTCAGAATCTAGACATATTTTTGGCGAACAATGGAGATTTCACTCTGATGAAGTGATGAATGACATTTTGGAGTTTCTTTAGAATGTGTAATTACTACATGGGGTGTAGTGAACAATATCCTAAATTTTAGACATAATTCGTCATCAAATCCTTTAACTTAATTTAATGTTTCACTTTAATCTCTTAACTAAAAAGTTACAAATTGGTCCCATAAAAACACCCCTACTACAAATTGGTCCCTTAAAAATATTTCCGTTAGTCAATTTGGTCCTTGCCATTAAATTTTTCCTGAAAAATGTTAGCTTCACCTATGTAGCATGATAGAAAAGCATTTGCTAATAAGACGAGTTAGCATATGTATTAAAAAAATCTGATTTTTATTTAAACATGAAATGGTTTGTTTTCAAAAGTTAAACCTCCCGCAAATTGTTAACAATGTCTAAGAAAAATATAACATCACATTGTTATCAGCATGAAAATTTGTATAAAATCACATTGAAAGGGTCGCGACGATGGTTTAGAGAAAAATTTGTTTCCGGTCAAGATTTAATGTGCGTGACTTCTGTAATTGCAAAAATAAGAACACAATATGGGGTAAAAGAAAAAAAGGAATGATGGATCTTAAAATAAAAGCACGGTGAAAATAGGAAGGCACGATTGAGAAAAAAGAGAGTGGCAACTAGGGTTCCAATGAATGAATATTGAATATCAATTAAAAATTAAAATAAGTACAATAATAAAAATACAAAAAAAAAGTCATGTCATATATTAATAATCCATCAAAACAGCCACGTAGGTGGTAGTCAACACTTTTTCCTGAAAACTTAATGGAATAGACTCACTAGGCTAACGAAACAGTTTTACATTTTTTAATCATATATTAATATTAGATGTTAAATGTAATTCATTGTTTTGATTTGATATGATATGATTAGATTTGATTTGAATATTTTGGGCCTTTTATGTTTTGGGCTTTTGTAAACCTAAAACTATAAATAGTGTGCCTTGCTTTGTATTCACAACAACATAGAACGGATTTCACAGTTGCAGTTTAAGCAAGTGAAAGTTCTATAAGCAAATAAAAAATCCCACAGTTGTGGGTAACACATTCTCTCCAAATATTTCTTATCTCGTTCTTCTCTTTTTTGTTGTTCTTCTTTTCTTTTGTTATTCTTGATAATTACTTGTTATTACCATTACTATCATATTGTGGTTAAACATTAAAAAATAATAATAACAAAACACTCATTCAAAATCAAATATTACAATGAAATAAAGAAAAAGTAAAATAAGTAAAAAATAGAGGGGAAGGTGGAAGAAAATGTGTTACCATTTTGTGTGAGAAAACATAACTAATATTTATGCATCTACATGAATATAGCAAATAAGTAAATGAACTCACATTCTCAACAACAACAATATAAATTGGAAGCAAATTGATCAATAATCAAACAAAAACAAAACTTGCACACAACAAAAATATGTTAAAAGTTACAAAATTAAGAGATAAATTTAAAATTTAATTGAAAAAATTTGTTTCAACATCAAAACAATCAATTAAAAAACTTGAAATTAAAGAGACAAAATAATGAGAGAGAGAAAATTATCTATTAAATCTTTATTTTCTTTTATGAAGTTTATATTCTTATGAAGTTATATTTTTCTCTCTTCTTTATAACTTTCAGATAGTTATTGCATGTCTCTAATCTCTCTTTCAAAATAACTTTTAGGTGGTTATTGTATGTGGAAGTTATTTAAATTAAGACTTTGAATGGTAAAATATGAAGTAAGTGAAGAGTAATTAAGGAATAGAAAATAGGTCATACCAAAATTGTGTATCCTCTTTATATATAGGTATAGATTATTATTATTATTATTATTATTATTATTATTATTATTATTATTATTATTATTATTATTATTATTATTATTATTAGCGTCCAAACGGGCACTCCGTGCCCGTTTGTCTGCTTTTTTTACTGCGTTAACGCGTGAAAATATTATCAACATCTTTTTTATAAGTTTGATTTTAATATCAAATATTTATATGATGAAATATATTGTATTTATTTAGATGCATATTAAGTTTTATTTGCAATATGTAATATTTTTGTGTTAAATTTTGTTTGAATTGAGAAAACCGCATAATGACATGACTATATTAACCGGGTTTTTTCAAGCAAATCAATAATGTGAAAGGAATAATTTGATGGTTATGAATACCGTATTAAAGAAAAAGAAAATAGATTACACCAAAATTAAGTTTTGTATTTATGTATTGTTATAGATTGTACAAAATCATATGAAGATTTAAATAAAATAAGAAGAAAAAAAATGTTTTTCACATTTATTAAACTAATAACATAAACATTAACAGAGACATTAAGTGACATTGTTGCTTAATAGAAAGGTCAACCATGAAATCGAAATAAAAAATATCTCTTGTTTTACTGCAAAACAAATGAAGTAAATTTTAGTAGTAAATAATATAATGTAATATAGTGAGTGCACGCCAAGGGTGACTTTGAAAAAGTATAGTTTATTTTAAAATAATATAGTGTAATATGTCATCCTCTTTATTATCCCTAAAAAAATCAATATGTGGCACAACATGCATAATAGAGCGGTTTTTAAAGTTTGCATTGTTTAGTGCATACCAATTAAATTCTAATAATAATAATAATACCTCTATCAATAAATTAATTCAAAAACAATTGAATAACAATCCCTATGTCAATGGTGAAAATTCATCTTGGAAAGGAAAATAATTTGAAATCTAACAACAATATTTT